TGTAGAGCCAAGTGAACCAGCTGTTCGCAGGTCTTCAAGGACTATAAAGCCTCCACAACGGTTCACACTTCTACTGAATTATATCTTGCTGACAGATGGTGGTGAACCATTAACTTATGAAGAATCCTTACAAGATGGAAACTCGAGCAAGTGGGAGTTAGCCATGAAGGACGAGATGGAGTCATTGCTGAAGAACAAGACTTGGGAGTTAACCAAACTGCCTGAAGGAAAGAAGGCCTTGCAAAACAAGTGGGTTTACAGAGTAAAGACTGAACATGATGGAAGCAAACGGTTCAAGGCAAGACTTGTTATAAAAAGGTTTTAGTAAAAGAAAGGGATTGACTACTCTAAGATATTTTCTCCAGTTGTGAAGCTTACAACAATCAGAGTTGTTCTGGGGATAGTAGCTGCAGAAAATTTACATCTTGAACAATTAGATGTAAAAACAACATTTCTTCATGGTGAATTGGAGGAAGACATTTACATACAACAACCAGAGGGGTTTGCAATACCAGGAAAGGAGAGTCAAGTTTGCAAGCTAAAGAAGAGCCTATATGGTTTGAAGCAAGCTCCAAGACAGTGGTACAAAAAGTTTGACAACTTCATGTATAGTTTGGGATACACAAAATGTCAGGCTGATCATTGTTGCTATGTCAAATATTTTGACAACTCCTAAATCATTCTACTGTTATATGTAGATGAAATGTTAATTGCAGGATCTAGCACGGAAGAGATTGACAAGATAAAGTAACAGTTGTCAAAACAGTTTGAAATGAAGGATCTAGGAGCTGCTAAACAAATACTTGGCACGAAGAGAAAAGGTTCAAGATTGTTCATGGAAACATAAATCCTAGTAATGTTATGCTTGATAACTCTCTTATGGCCAAGTTGTCTGACTTTGGATTGGCAACGCTTTGTGATGAGGAAGATCCATTTATGACCATCGAAGCAAAAGGGTCGCGGTATGTATTACGATCATTGATTGACAACTACTTTCATTCTTTTAAACAAGAGCTAACCAATAATTAATCTCTTATTGCAGAGTTTACATGGCACCTGAGTATTCAATGGGAAAAGCAATAAATATTGTTAAAGCTGATGTTTACAGTTTTGGAGTTGTCCTACTCGAAATAGTTAGCGGAACAGAAATAGTTAGCGAGACAGTTAGTGAAGAATACACACCCACCCAGGAAGTTGAGTTTCTTCTGGATAAAGTAAGTGGATCTGACAGGATAAACCCCCTTAGTTTTTTTTTTTTGTAAGTTCTACAACAAGTTTAGAGAAGAAATTTATAATAAAAAAGAACAAGTTCAGAGAAGAAATTTATAATAAAAAAGGATATTATTATTTAATAATTTGAAATATATAATCATATAACAAGAAACATAAAAAAATAAAATAAAATACAATTAAAATCCAAAAAAATACATTTTAAATGTATTTGCATCATTTTTAGCATTTTTAACATCATCTCAAAAGAATTTAAATTTTCACTCAATTCCTTTATCTCTCTTTTTTATTGATTATTTTCTTAATACCCCCTCAAACTCATGATAATTTTATTTTTCTTGAATTTGACATACAGAACTTCTATTGTCATTGAATGCTTATCTTTAACAATTGTATTTTTTTAAACATAGCTATTATTAGTTTTTTTTTTAATTTTCTTAAGATTGTTGCTATACTTTTCTAGCCCAAACATATCACAAAGTTTTTATTTCAAAAGCATATTTCAATTACCATCTTATTTATATTTTTACTTAATATCACAAAGTAAAGTGAATATGTGAAAGTATCAAGTCTACAAGATATTTACTTGAAAAATATGTTCGAGAATAATATAAATTATATTTTAAAATCTTATTTAACAATTTAAATTTTTAGATTGAGAAGGTTTTTTTAAAAGTCCTCAAGAGGCATAGCATGATGGCAAAGGGCTTGAGATCTACACAGCAAGTCTTGAATTCGAGTCAGGATGTGCACCTCTTATAAGAATCTGGGACAGCCGAGATTTTACTCGCTCACCTGGGCCCACAAAGTACGCTTTTTGGGAGATGGGATTTCCTCGAATCCAAAAAAAAAAGGTTCTTTAAAAGTTTATCCTTGTTGACTTTGTAGATTCATTATAAGTTTTTACTTTATTGATCTTCATTATCAAAAATTATATATTAATTTGTTTCATTAATTGTATATATATATATATATATATATATATATATATGAAAGTTTAGTCACTTATTTAATTTTTAATGATTATTTAAATTATGATGTTATAAAAACATAGCCTAAGGGTTCAATATTGAAAATATATAAAAAAAACCATGTTTAATTAATAAAATATTATTAGAATTTTTTTCTAATTAAAAATTATTTTTTTTCAATGTGAATTAAAATTGATAAAATTGATAATACATTAAAAAAAATAAAAATAAAATTAAGATAATTTTTAATATCAATTAAAGTGAATAAACCTTTCTAAATCATTGGAATAATCTAAATATGATTTTAGCATTTTAAAAATATTATTTATGCACAACTTAGTAACTAATCAAATTCAAATAATTAATTCATCATAATATAAAAAATTAAAATATAATCGTGAAATGAATCTTAAACTTGTTAAATAATATTTATGTAGACTTATTTATTAAGGGTAGAATAATACTTTTAAAATTATGAAAAATATTCAAACCTTCTGATTGAAGCAGCATACCACCTAATTTATTTTGCGAGTATTTGAATATCAATCGTACTTGATTTTGTTGAAAATAAAACATGTTGATTGTACTTTTACTATTTTGATAAAAGTACTTTTTAGAAGATAAAATGTTAGAGTACTAGTCTACTCTTTAGAAGATAAGTATTGTATATCAATTAAAAAATTACTGAACATAATTTTTTTTATTAATATAAGTGTTTGAACTAGTTTGTGCGCATCTCAATCAATCTCACGATCCTAAAATTACCAGTCATGTAAACTTTTAGTAGTTTTAAGTTTTATAAGATTCAAACCGGTGATTTCAAAAGAGAAATCTGACCAATTGAGCTATATTTTTTAGAGTTACCAAATATGATTCTTGATTATACGTGTAGTTAACTAAGTACACATTGTTACACTATACTATACTATGATTTGTTGTGTTATATTGTAAATAAAATCAATCAATTGTTCCGTATTGTATTGATATATGATTAAAATAAAATTATTATTACATTGCTAATTAATAGTTTTAGTGCTACACATGAACAAATACTTGACCATAAATTTTAACGATGCATTATTGCTTCTCAATGTTCACTTTCTGATTGGACCCTAGAAATGAAGGGTAAGCTATCAGTTTTCGGCCTTCAACTGATGCTTTAGCTTTATTAATCTTTCTCTGCTCGACAATGCAAAAGATCGACATAATGGAAGCAAAAGATCGACATAATGGAAGTAAAAGATGCTGAACATGAACAAATACTTGACCTTAAATTTTAAAGATGCATTATTACTTCTCAATGTTCACTTTCTGATTGGACCCAAGAAAAGTAGGGTAAGCTATCAGTTTTTGGCCTTCAACTGATGCTTTAGCTTTATTAATCTTTATGTGCTCGACAATGCAAAAGATTTGCTGAACATAAACAAAGACTTGACCATAATTTGTAACGATGCATTATTACTTATCAATGTTCACTTTCTGATTGGACCCAAGAAATGTAGGGTAAGCTATCAGCTTTTGGCCTTCATACGTTCTGGTGCTTTAGCATTATTAAATGCAAAAGATGCTGAATTACATGAACAAAGACTTGACCATAAATGTTAAAGAAGCATTATTACTTACTTCTCAATGATCAGATTCCATGGGTTCAATCATTAATTTATGATGTATCAAACATTTAGCAGAGCCGTTAATTAGCTGGGCATGAGTGTTGACAGTGTGATTCTGTTTTCAATCTTGTTTTGTTACAATTTCCTGCTGCCTATTCAGAAGCGACAGTGAAGAACATATACAAAATGGAGAGGGTAATTATCTAACAAATTAGTCACCACTGCAAAACTTCCATGGAATTAAGAACTTCATGTGATACACGTTTGAGATTCCAAAGGCATGTGTTGACAGCTTGCTTTTTCTTTGTTTTTCACTATCTTCTGTCCTGACGCTTTTCCATTCACTTTTCAAATGCCTTTGGATTTTGCATTCCTTTAACATCTTGATAGTACTTTATCATAATCATACTTGTTTTGCAAAATTCTAAGAATAACAGTTTTCATCTTAAAATTAACAATATTTGATTATTCTTCGGATTAATGCTACACAAATAATTTCTTAATATAAAATTTTCATACAGATTTAAGTGATAATTTTTTTAGTTTACTACTTAAAAGTTGAGTCATCAGTTAAAAATTTATTTAAAAATCATTCTTCTTCTTATGAATAGAGATCCTCTTTGAATTCTTGTGAACATGAGGTTGAAGATCAATAACAGCATACATATCTACTTTTTTAAAAAAAAAAACAATTCTACAATAGACACCACATGCAGACTTACATGCCTAAATATTTGCCCTGCTACTTCAGATTTTGTGTAAAAGCGCGGGATGTGTGAAGAGTAGTAGTGTAGTGTGTGAGAGAGTGCGCAGAAAGAGTGACTTGAGCGTTCTAAGTGAAATGGATTGTAAAGTAATTTTTAAAATGTTTTTTTAAAAAATATATTAAAATATTTTCTTTTTAATATCAGAATATCAAAACAATTAAAAAATATTAATTTAATTTTAAAAAAAAAATACTCCACCTGTAATCCCAAACAATTAAAAAATATTAATTAATTTACTCGCAAACTATACCCAAGTGTAGCTTTGTGGAGGTGATACCAACATCTATTTTGGCACTTGAGTGTAATAAAGGACTATTACTAAAATTAAGGACTGTGTAGAGTGTGTGTGGAAGATCAAAAGGGCGTTGTGCCGATGGCTCATTTGTTTTTTGTTGCTTGACAGAGAGAAAAGGATGACTAGTTATGGAGGTTTGATATAGTGGAGGGTATAATTTTTTTTAAGGGAATTTGGGTTTTTTCTTTTTTTTAGTGGTGTGACAGTGGGAGTGTCGCGCGTCTGAACATCCGCGCGGCATCAATTGGTGATTTTTTTGTTTATTTTTATTATTTGTGTTTTGCTTGTTTCTTTTAGAGTCGTTTTCTAGTATTATGGTCACTAGAAACCTATGGTCTGTGAGAATCTGAGTAAGAGACTAGTTGTGCAAGAGGAAGACACATCACTCCAGTGCACCCTATCTAAGGTAAGCTGCATTGTTATTTGATCATTTTTCTAGGTCAAATTTTTATTCGTTGGTTTTTTCTAAGGTTCAAATCAGATCTCCCTTCATGAAGGAGTCTCTACCTTATTGGGTTAAATCCTAACCATTCTAAAGTCCAAATTTTAAAATTACCTTTATTTACACCTTGTATCTTTAATACCCGATGGTGTACTTTATCGTGTAATTTTACACCCCACAAATATTAAAGTTTATATCTTAAAAAAAAAGGGTTAAAAAGGAAAAAAAAGGTTTTTGATATTTTGGTCAAACCTTAACGGATAATCATAAACTAGTTATGATATCCATTTTTTTTGGATTTTTAAATCGTGAGAAAGATGTAATTTTTATATTTTTGAAACATGCTTGAAAAATTCTTTAGGATTTGGTTGTATGCAACAAAATATTTTTTCCCTTTTTATTTTTGAAATTTTTTTTTGAAATTTTTTTAAACATTTTAGTGAAAACCGGGTATTTTAATATCGGACTTGTATCTTAGCATATAAGTATATAACCCAATATTAAGCAAACTTGGTAGAAAAATATTTGAGAAAATCACAAATTTTTTGATTTTTTGAAATTTTTTGTTTATATATATTAAAACATGTGGGATGGGCCGGCCCAAAATAGATTGGGCCATTTTTGGCCCAGGACTTTTGGGTTTGAGTTGGGCTTGGCCCAGCCTCTTGGGTTGGGCCAGAACTGGCCCGACCTAAGCAGATGGCTAATTATTTAGCCACTGCATGCAGAAGTTAGGACGGGCTGTTATATTTGATATCAGAACCAACCTCACTAGCTGTTAGGTTGTGCTGACGAGGTCGTCAGACTCCTTAAAAGGGATGAATTGTAATATCCCACGTCGACGGGTAAGAGATTGGTAACTGGTCTTATTAAGAGTGTTGGTTGTTAACTTGTCATACATGTTTTGGGACATCAGCTTCAGAAGTGGACTCGCATCACTAGGAACAAAATCGTGAGGGCGGTAAGGCCCAAAGCGTACAACATATAACAAGTTGGGTCGGACTATTATAATTTTTCTCATTTTTTGTTTATTAAGATAGAATTTTTAGTATTTTTTTATGCTAATTCTTTTTAACTAATTTCTCTCTTTTCTTTTAGTGTGGCCTCTATTTAAGGTGTTTTGAGAATATAATAACGGTTATGGTTTAAAGTACTTTTCACTTATAAATATATCAAAATAATATTTTTTTTATTTTTTTTAAAATTTTTTTGACACCAACACATCAAATTAAACGATCTGAAAATATAAAAAATTAACTTTAAATAAAAAAATTCAAATTTTTGAGGAATTCCCAACCACACCCTTATACTAGTAAAACAAATGTTCTTTTCACTCTTAGGTGCTAATCTATTACACACACTTCCATAATCTTCTTGTATTTTCTTAGACTTTCTAGTGTCACCTAAAAGTCCCCTCCTTTTTTTTCAAACAAAATATATTATCTGTCTTTTTTTTTTTGGGAAATTCAATTTTTAAAAATCAAAATGTGCTCTCTCTTTTAAAAAAAAATCAAAGAATTTTGTTTGACTTTTTTATTTTTAATTAATATTTTTGAAAAATTTGTAAATATGAAAAAAAATGATCAAAAATTATAAAATAACCAAAAATTGGCCAAAAATGTTGAAAATATATTTTTGATATTTTTATTTTTTAAAAAATATAGGGGTAAAAAATTATATTATGATAATAGTCATCACAACTATTAACAAATTTCAAAATGCATCAAATGATTATAAAATTAGCTTTCTTGAACGATGACATTGTCAAAGAGGAGGTTTACGTGGAACATTCTCAAAAAAATTTATTTAATTAAATATCAAGTGAAATATAATAGAATAATTTTAATGAAAGATCATCTATTTAAATGAAAAATATGATCATTTCTTTGAGAATTTCAAAAATATTCAAAAATGCTGACCTTTCATTATAAAATAGCTTTTGAGTTTTTTATTTTTATTTTTGAATAATATTGATATGTAATGCAATCAATTAAGCTGATGTTAGAATTTTAAAAGACTAATGAACAATAATTTTTGGATTACTATTACATGTTTTACCTTGCAGTTAAACTAAACAAACATCTAATCTAAATTTACATTAGGTTCACTTATCCAGGTCACTATTTATTTTTTGACAACAAGATGTCCATCAATGTCGCTTGTAAACAACAATATAGTTTCAAATTCATTTTTGCGTAATTGTTGTATTTGTTTTTATAATGAAAGGTCAGCATTTTGTTTTCCTTTCCATCAATGTTGCTTGTAAATCTGAGTAAGTGTTATCAGAGCTTTTGCTCAAAATCCAAACCCAACAAATGATAGATCATATATGTTTGTAAAATTGTGTACCGTACATTTGAGTCAGAAATTAGATTTTCTCTTCAATTCAAATTAATAATTATATATTATATATTATATTCAAATAATTACCGTACATTATGCATGAATGAATTCAAATCTTAGACATTGAATTGAATTCAAATATGCAAATTTTACACCGTTGTTTGTCATAATTTAAAAAAATGCTGCTTTGGAATCATTTTGCAATTTACTTAAACCAAAATTGTTTGGCCTCCATGCATAATATTGCAAGTTACTTTTCTTGGGTATTTTGATACTTGGACAGGGACAATTTGGTAATGTGAGGTTATTGATTCAGAGTTAATAACAGTTTGAACGGTAAAACAATATCTTTATAAAGAATGCATGTCTCAAGGGAAGCGCATTGCAAGCTAAAGTAATGGCTAAGCTTTATCTTAATAAGCTCTTTCCTAAGCTTGTTCCCTCTCTTGCCGTTCTTCTTCTTTGTCAATTTGGCTATGTAGCAAGTCAATCAACAGGTCTCTCTAACAGCAACCGGTTGCCTGAAGGAGAAGGTACACACGCACGATATACTTTTCCATCTACATATATATCCTTTTCGTACTATATACATAAAAAGGAAGAAAATTTGTTTTCAAGAATATAAAATCAATTAACTGTTTAGACTATAAACTCACTCATGTTTGCAAGAAACTCATCCAAACTAACAAGAGGAAGAAGAGAGAACACTTGAGCTGGAAGGAAGGGTATTAATCTTTGTGACCCAAACAATGAAGAGCCTTGCTAATAACCAACCTTATGCTTAAACATTGCTCCGAAGAAGAATGGAATGTTGGGTGTGAGGCTCTGCTTAACTTTGGAAGCTGTGGCGGATGAAAAAAAAAACCCAACCTTATTGCTATTTCTCTCTTCCATTTGCACTCTAGGGCTTCCACAGCCTGGCAGATAGTTCCGTAGTGCTTTAGTTTTATCTAATTGCTAGCCTACGTACTGCATCTCTTAGATATTTTCTGCTTCTCCATAGTTTCCTATAACTATCAAGTGAAGTAATGTGAGGTAATTGATTCAGAGTTAATAACAGTTTGAACGGTAAAACAATATCTTTAGTTTTTTCTTTTTTTGTTTTCCTTTTAGTTCGGATTTGAAGCTAGCTAGAGGTAGCTTGAGGTTGAGGAAGCTAAAAATATATGGTTTTGAATCTTGCTAAACAAAATATGGTTTTTCTTTGTTGAAAAACGTTTGGCAGCAAAGGCTTTGGATGAATTGATGACCACGTTAGGGTGGGGTTTTCAACAAATCTCACGCTCGTCTTGTGACAATTATTTTCAAGGCATCACATGCAATTGCACTTATGAGAACAGCACAGTTTGTCACGTCACCCGCCTGTAAGTTCCTCATCAACTTCATCCAATTTTATTTTATTTTTGTAAGGCAATGCATCCTCTTTAAAACTCACTGGTTTCTATGTTGACGCCATTTTTGGGTGGTAGAGAACTCTCAAGCCGCGAATATTTAACCGGACAAATCAACGCTGCAGCCTTGACTAGTCTCGATTACCTAGAAAAAATGTGAGTATAATATGACATGTGATGATAATCATTCGAATCAGTATGCTGAGCTCAACTAATTGATAACAACCCTATTACATTAATAACAGTGATTTGTCCAACAATCAACTTCATGGTAGCATCCCTGTCACCATGGGGAGCTTGTCTTCACTCTACTACATGTAAGTGATCCAGTACCATGGTAATATACTACTACTGCAGTTTATTTTGTTGCAGTGATTTGTCCAAATATATTCTTTATTTTAAATATACTACAATATATAAAATAAAATTAAGATTCTCTATGTAACTCGATTCAAGAATCCCTATAATTAATATATTTAGCTTCTGCCTCGGATATTCGGTCTTTGGGCTGCAGTTATTTAGATTCGACTAGATACACATAGCCTTTGAGCATGCAATTATTGAGTTCCAGCTGCATAATATAACGGTTAGAGAATCTAAAATATATACTGTAGGATTGTGAATCGAAGGGCTTGGACTTGTGCTTTGGACTTGTAGGATTGTGAGCAATTGAAGGGCTTGAGCACGTTCAAGATCTATCCCAAATTTATTTAACATATCAAGAAAATACATCTTAAAACAAGTAAATAATCATTCACAGACATTCAAACTAGACATAGAAAATTCAAATGATTAATAAATATTAATAAATAATAATATTAATATTTTAAGACATTTACATTTATAATTAAAAATAATGTTGCCACTATAGGTAACTGAAATAGTATCTTGGAAGGGTATTACCAAGGAAATTCCCAAACTCACAGATCCAAATTATAACAAAATATGAAAATAATATTTTGTATATAGAAAATAGGATCAACTTGTCTATCTTTAATGCAACATTCTCGTGGGAAAGCACAAAATTAACGTCTTACAATCCTTAGGTCAATTTTCTATAAACAACCAAAAAATACAAGACACAATTAAAAATAAATCCCGTTCTTGGAAAAATGGTGCCATCAAAATTGTTCTTGGAGAAATGGTGACTAAAATTAAGTTATGTATTAATTGATTCTATTATGTGATAGACAATAAAAAGACTTGATAAGACTGTACAGGCAATCCAAAGAATAGAACCCAATAAAAATTATTCTTATCCAAAGTTGATTTATGAATAAAAAGACAATGAATATAAAAAATATGTATGAATTCTATTATTTGATAGACAACATTTAAAGAATAAGACTTCATAATAAATCTTCTTTTCCTATGTTAATTTATAGATAAAAAAAAAAACAATTAAACTGGGTAGCATTCCTTGGATCGAGTCAAGGCAATCTTAAAATTGTGATCCAAGACATTAGATGTTGATCACTAATTAATAAATTTATTAAATTGAAGTGTTTATTTAAAATAATTAATTTTAATTGTTAATTAAAAAAGCATATATATATATATATATATGTATATTCATCTCAAATATAATTATCACAAATAATTTTATAATATTTTAATATTTAATATTAATATATGTAGATATGTTCAATTAAATATTAGTATAATTTTTTTTCTATTGTTTCATTAAAGAGTAAAAATATATAATTACAAGTATAATTTAGATGTGTGTTTGAAAAGGTAAAAAAAAAATAAGTGCCCTCTAGAAACAAGGGAGCTGGTAAAGAAATCTGTATTGATTTATCATTTAATGTTTGTAATCTTTTGTTATATTTCTATTAATGGTCTGTGAATGTCTTCCCACTTCTCATATGCATAGCTATCTCTCCGAAAACTTCCTCTATGGTTGTCTGCATAGTTATGAGCAAAGAGCTGCTTAGCTTTTGGATCATATACAATAACTAATTTCTGTTCTTAGCGTGTCTTTATAAAATTTATATTATTGGTTCTTATTTGAGTAATGATGAATTTATATGGTAATATACATACATAGCGATCTCTCCACAAACTTCTTCAAAGGCTCCATACCTTCATCCTTGGTGAATTTGTTGTCCCTCCAATATCTGTAAGTATCATGCACTCTTCGATATCATACAGTTATAAGTATCATCTTCAATGTCAATTAATTAAATTGTTTTTTCATTGCTGATGCAAGTTTTGTACTTTTATTCTTGAGGGCGTTTATATGTATTTTATTAATATTGACTTTTATTCAGAAACATTTTATGTCCAATTTTTAAAGATTCTTATTTTTTTCCTAATCAAGTATTTAGTTTTCATGCTTCAAAACTATATAGTTAAAAGCAAACTATCCATCATCAATTTAAAAAAAAAAAAAACAAACGGCACTAATTAACCAAAACTATCCATCATATGAATTATAGGAGAACATCTTGGATATTTGGCGTTGATTTTATACCATTGTTGTTCTTTCAAAAAATAATATATAATGGTAAGTAACTTCTGTTTTTAAGAGTTCTATGAAATTATATCTAACTTTCTTTTTTCTAAAATCACTTCTTTTAAATTATATTCCATCAAATAATAGTTAAGATCTCATTTTTCATTCGGAGAATAAAGTGTTTAGGACTACATAATTATGTTATAATGGTGAAAATTTGAGTTAAGAACTCAAATTTCCTTCTTTAAATTTAAAAAGAAGTTACTGAAAAGACAATTGATAGATTAAACTTGTAGCTGTAATAGTTAAGATTTTTTAATAGAATTTAGCTTTGTTAGAAATGAAAATAAGGGCAAGCCGTTCGGGGACTTATACTTACAAATGTTCATGTCAAGGTGTTAATGGTCACAAAAATTAACTTCTGAGTTCTGTTTGGTTCTTTTCTCTTTTGTAATTAGGATAAAAACCTTGTTTGGCTAATTGCTTAACCGTGTTGATGCTTGTTTGGTTGTCTGCATGGTTATGAGCAAAGAGCTTCTTAACTTTTGGATCATATTTTAATAACTAAATTAATTCAGCTCTTGGTGTGTCTTCATAATATTTAAATTATTGGTTCTTATTTTATCTATAGAGTAATAATGAACTTGTATGGTAATGCATATGCATAGCGATCTCTCCGCAAACTTCCTAAGTGGCTCCATACCTCTATCTTTGGGGAATTTATCATCCCTCCAAGTTTTGTATGTATCATCCAATCACAGTCTCTTCAGTATTATATATTGTGAATTAAATTCTTGTTTCATTGCTGATGCAAGTCTTGTGCTCTTATTCTTATTCTTGTGGGTGTTTTCAGGGATTTGCGGAATAATATGTTATCTGGTCAAATCCCTAAAGAATTGGGCAACCTCTCTACTCTCATATATATGTATAGAAACTCACTAGCTCGCTTTTTCATTCTCCTTGAATTTCCTTTTAACTTATTGAGTTTGGTTTGGTTCTTTATCTCTTATTTAATTAGGGCCTTGGGCTTCAATGAACTCACTGGTCAGCTTCCACCAGAACTTGGAAGATTGAGATCTCTAAAAGTTTTGTAAGTTTCAAAAAGAAGAAGAATAATATCATACCACCTTGTAAAACCACGGAAGATAGAAAGAGGAGAAATAAAATAGAAAAAGGGTGGATTACAATCCTTTTGATTTGTTGTTGTAGAGGGTTGAGCTCCAACAATTTGAGTGGAGAACTGCCTGGAAATTATTCCAGCTTTACGGGATTGCAGTTGTTGTAAGTGCAACTCACCATGTTATTTCAACCAACAATCTGTTTAATTATTGTTCCAAGGAAAAGCAACTAACTATGGCTGCAGTAGCGTAGCTGGGAACCGTTTGACCGGTCAATTACCAAGGTTCATTGCGGATTGGACTCAACTCTATTACCTGTAAGAAATTACCTGTACTTTCTGTAATATTATTTGATTGAGAACTGTCGATGATCGAAGAATATCATTCAATAATTTGTGTTTTTGTGTACTGATGACAGGTCCCTCTCCGGGAATGATTTTGAAGGAGAGCTGCCTCTTGAACTTCTTTTTAACATGTCAAATCTCCGACACTTGTAAGTGTTCTATGATTTTAACAGGGTTGAAATAAATGCATGTTTTTATTCTGGATGGTTTTTCTTCCAGGTTTGTTAGTGATGTAAGAAGCTCGGCCGGTTTCCCTTTCCCAAAATATGCAACCATGACGAGAATAAGAAAACTGTGAGTTTTTCCTTCCTTTGCTTTTCTTTAAAGCTCACACTCCAAAATCACATAATAACTATCAAGGCTTTAATTAATAAAACTAGTTATTAAACCCCCAAATCCATGTCAAAATATATTCTTGAAATTTAATGTGAAATAGATACGATTTTATCATATGCAAATTTTAAAAAAAATATTTAATTCTTTTTATTTTTTAACATTCAAAAAACATAAAAGAGAATACCCACAAACACACACTCCCAACCAAACATTCTATGTTTACTCACCCACTCCCAGTTTCAAGTTTCCAAATGTAACAAAAATTAAAATTGCTTACAATAATTTAAATACACATTTCGAAATCTACAAATTACAAAATAGACTCAGGAACAGTGCTGGAAGCGGCTGAGAAAAACCAGGAAACAGGGGGGTGATCTGGAATGGCATCTGTGGTCGAATTACAGAGAGGCAGAGGTGGCTGAGTGAAGGAGACAGAGCTGGGTCTCGGTTTAGCAGAGAAGGGGGTGGCTTAAAGGGCAGAGGGGTGGTACTATCGGTGGATCTGGAGGGCCTGGTTCGGGTCTGTGAAGGCCGGTGATGGGGCTGTTGGGTCAGCTATCAGAGATCGGGAGAGGAAGATGAGGAAGTGCAGTGGGCGGCCTTTGTGGTTGTGGTGGGAGCTGGAAGGTTGATGTTGTGGCCGGGGGGAGAATGGGCTTGGGTTCCATGAGAGGGAGGGGAGACCTGGTTCGGTCGGCGGTGGAGAAGGAGAAGGAGAAGTTGAAACAACCAGCGAGAGGGGAGAGTCAGGGTGAACGGCTCTGCCCTCTTTTGGTCTTGGCGAGCTGGCGGCTAGTTCAGGAGAAGAAGATGTTAGGGAGAAGAAGATGGGGACGGCTGTGGCTTGGACATGGAGAGCGGCAGCTGGAGGAGGGGAGCGGATTAGGATTAATTTTTGTGGTTTCTTAATTTATTGTTTTTCAAAATTGCCCCTATTGTGTGTTGACTGTTGAGTGGCTCTTATTTATACATAGAATATTGATAGGTCTCAATTGTTCCTCAATTTATTTTTCTTTTTTTTTAAATATTTAAAAAAAACAAGTAATATTACTCAATAAAAAATCATTTATTTAAAAAATAACACTTTAAAAATGAAACACATTCACGAAACCTTTAAAAATTTAAATTATATTGAAACAACATTAAAAATGCTAAAAACAATGTGCATATATCAAGAATATATTTTTTTGAGTTATTATTGTTTTCTTGTTTTCTTTTTTGGTTAAAATTTAGATACCAGCAACATAAATTCAAATTAAATAATACACTTAGAATTATATTTGCCAGGGAGCGTTATTGTTGTAGAATTTGGATTATGACCGATCTTTTACATAAATATATGTTTAGGCCTATTTTTCTCTATATGATCTTGAGTCTTTTTTATGAGCTACTACATGCATAAGAGAATCATGAAGTTACAATATTTATGTATGTGACTCTTAACGTTAACGATATTTAATGATATTCTTCAATGGTTTGTGTAGGGTGATAAGGAATTGCTCAATAAGTGGTGAAATCCCCCCGTACATTGGTGATTGGTCATCGTTAACATACCTGTAAGTTTCATTTCCTCTATTGTAAAGGATTTGTAGTTCTGTCATGGCTATTTTGTTTCATCAGCTCTATAAATGCTCATTGTTTAGGGCCTTTAGGCCATGCATAGGAAGTGTTGATGATTTTGACTATGTGTCTACAGAATCAACTATATATGCAATAATTGACCATAGCACAACTATATATCAAATATGAAAAAGCTAACGTTTGCTTTCATTTTATTGATCCTGCAGAGACTTGAGCTTTAACAGCTTAACTGGTGGAATACCAGATTCCATGAAAAAGCTGAATTTAAGTAAGATGTATGCAAAAGAGATTCCTTGAACTCGATGTCTTATATAATAAGCTCGTTCTGCCACTCTGTTAAAAAGTACATGGGATGGTTTTCATAGTGGTTTGTTTTGTTTAGGTTTCTTACAGGAAATATGCTTAATGGCACAGTACCTTCCTGGGTTCCTCATACCATTGAAGACAAGGCGTATGTTATGGCTTTGTGCTCTTTGCTCAGATGGGTTGTTTTCCCTTTTGTAGATTTCCTCAATAAAATCTTGATATGTAAACAATAATGTTGCAGGGACTTGTCATATAATAATAATTTTGATGATGGTCCGAAGAAAGGAGAAGGAAAGCTGAACATGTAATAACGGCAACTTCATTTTCTTCTTCCTTTTTTTTCACTTGCAAGAATATTATTGTCTATGAAATCCCAACTTCTGATCATTTTGTATCATGTGCACCAACTGCTTGCATGTTGTTCCTACTCAAGCAGTGAACCAAACAGGTATGGTAATATCCTCCATATGGTGCAATTAATTTAGAACAAATGATCCTGAGCTATTTCTTACGAATTTTGTTTGTTATTTCTAGGAAGTCTATACGCGAGTTGAGAGATAAATGTCAGGGAAAACCAAAGTGTAAGTTCTATTGAGAAGCTCATATTGGATACCATATTTACATTCCTGATCAGTCGTTCATTTAAAATATTTATTGGTTTAACCTTGGGTTTGGAATGACATTGCTTTTGGAATAGCATATGCCATACGACAAACTCTTCCGAAAATTGTCTGTACTGATTATCATTTTTTTCAGACGATTCCTTATATATAAATTGTGGAGGAGGAGAGACAGTTGTTGATGGGAAAGTGTTCGAAGCAGACGGTTCAACATCAAATTACTATATAGCACCGAAAGAAAATTGGGCTTATTCTTGTTCTGGAGACTTTGGTTCGGAAACTAACGGTTCCGGTCATTACATAAAAAACGGAATTTGTGGTTCTTCTGAGACACAGTTATACAATTCAACTCGCCTCTGCCCTCTTTCTCTGACATATTACGGCTTCTGTTTATTTAAAGGAAATTACACTGTGAAACTTTACTTCGCTGAAACTGTTTACCAAAGTGATGAAGATTATTCGAATTTAGGGAAACGTGTTTTTGATGTATATATACAGGTAACCGCTATATTGTTCTGCAGCTTCTTTCAAAAATTCCCATCATTCAACATCCACTTTTGGATACAGGGGAAGAGAGAACTAACAGACTTCAACATAGAAGAAAACGCAACCGGCACCAATAAGACATGGACTGCAAGTTTCACAGCATATGTAGAAGATGATCATCTATTGAATATCCACTTTTTCTGGGCTGGAAAAGGATCTTTTCAGGTGCCAGGTTTTTCCTATACAACTGCTGCCCTGTCTCTGAATGGACCCCTTGTGTCAGGCATTTCCGTAACTGCAAGTAAG